AAAAATGTGTTGTGTGGCAGAATTTAGTCAATGGCAAAAAAGTCAGGCGGTAATAGCCGCGCACTTAAGGTTGAAAGTAAAGGTTGGAGAGGCGGCTAACTTCAAGGGTGGAGGGTCACAACAGTGTGGGCACCAACACTTCACTGCGCTGACCGGTTCACTAGCACAGACAAGTCGGTGAAGTGAGAGGTGTGCAAGCACTGAAGGCTCTGCATGGATGTTGCCCGCCCAGGTCAGTGTGACGGGGATAGAGATGTACTCTTCTACCCGTAAAAGGCGTCCATTGGTGAGGCCTGCATCAAGTGTCAATGGCACCGTTATTCAGATGTAGTGACAAACTGCAAACGTGTAAATTTTAATGATAGCCAACATGCTACTGGCATTATGTCAGTAGAAGGCGACGACATCGTCACGATTAAAGATCATTGAGGGGAGGACTGCAGACGCAGACATTTAACTTACTTTCGCCTTTACGGCATTGAGCAATCAAGAAATCATTATCTGCTAGACCCTGTGTCAAAGAACTCCGCCTTGTAGTACCGCTTGCGACTCAACGAGTGAGACACGATGTGTTGCTGGCTGTTGACGCAATTATGAGGAGTGTTGAGATGTTGACACCATGGCCAGTAGGTGTTGGGTGTGATGAGTGTTGTCAGGCGCCAGCTCGGTCGCACCACTTGTACGCGACAACATCCGTTGAGATTGGCATTCGGAGGAAACAAGAGTCTGTCGCGAGTATTCGTGCCCCTATGCATGTGCACTGCCTACCTCGGGAGACTACAAAATGTTCAAGCGATACGCCCAAAGCAGCGGGGATCCTGCCATCGAACACAATGATACAAGTGCTGCCGACTTGTCATGCTTGTAGGTCTTTGCTTGCACCACCCAACACCATTTCTCTCTTTGTCCAGGTCTCCTACTATGATGCTACGTCCCATCATGTTTGCAGTTCAGACAGCGTGGAAGGAGTGACTCAAAATAACCACTATCTCACCAATATCATAAATTTTGCCATTATTTTATGACAGCCTCGCTCCACGAATCAGCTTGCACGATTGCTGACACACTGATGTCGCGACAGTTGGTCATTGTGCTTACGGTTGGTGTCTCAGAGAAGCTGGAGTCCAGTGCCTTGACACCGCCTACCTTCAACCCAGCCTACCTCAATTGGCCACACAGCCTGTTCCATAGTGTACACAAGGCACTTCACACACAAGCAAGCGGGGCGACATGACTGGTCCGCTAAATGAGCTTTTAGAAGAGTAAGCACATTTTCCTTTCGCGAATGCGGGTGTTGTGATGGGCATGGGGTTTGGACATGCTGGCTATCGTGGGCTGGGTTTTGCTATCAGTTCAGCTGTTTGGCTGTTTGGAGTTGGGTGTAGCAGGCTGGCACCGAATGCATCACCAGTGCCCTACTGAGGTGGGGCACAATGAGGCGTGCCCAGGAGGAATGAGAGGAGCACAAATGCGGCCAATTTGGAGGAAAGGTGATGACAGGTTTGACGTGGCAAGGAGAATCCCAAAAGCCATAGATAAAATGCACCAACAATGGTGAGCCAATAGGGTGCACAAGATGCCAATGATGCCGTGTAACCAATAAGAAACGAGGATCGGTATGGCAGGCGGATATATAAACGCTCTTTGTCTACGTGAACAAGCAATTCTCTCCAACGCATTCCATTGCTTAAGCTTCCACTGCCACTCCGAACACAACAATTTACCCATTGCATGCCGAACACAAATGCACATATAATTGCTCTCAAGGAAGAAGTGAATCTCTGCATAGCGTCTTTAGTTTCGTTGACACAGTGGTGGCAAAATCAACTGCCCTCTACGCTCTAGGTTGAGGTGGTGGATTCACCCCTTCACAATGTTTGCGATGGTGTGGAGCCATGCTGGCCAAATTTCGCCAATAATGCTCCGCTTTGAGTACACCCTGCTTAGCAACGTTAGTGTTCTCAGTGCCAAACGAACCTTGCCACCAGCACTGCCACTACCGATTCTCCACGTGCCACTAACAACCAGGAAATGAAATCGAGCATCATTCCGAACTATTGCTCAAACTGAAGTGTTTCGCCCCCCTTGTTCTCAAGGGAACCTCGCGAGGCCACTCGATGGCAGCGGATGACGAGCCTGCCCTTGTGCAGCCTTCTGCCCTAATAAATGATGGCGGACTAGGGAGTCGCTTGCTCACTACTAAAAGAGGGGCTGAGAATGACATCCACCTTCTCCACACACCACATTTCCGTGTTTTGCAAAAGCTCTCTTCGCAACCATGACGACGCCGACCCTACACCGTCATGAAGGCTCCGTTCTTGAGTTTTATTTCCTCCACTCCGCCATTCCTCCTCCTCCCCCCTCCCCCCACCCCATCATCACCACAACCACTGCTGACAAAAAAGCCGTGTGAAAACATACAAAACTCTACCACAACAGAATTGTACCAGCTTTGGCATTCCCTCTCACAGTCACGCTTTCGCATTTGTGTCCCTGCGTCTACCTGTGGCTGTCAATATCCATCCGCAATCCAATTACCCAACAAAATCAGCGGCGCTGTCGTCATCAACCACCTTGGTGTCAGTGCAAACCGATGGCTGATTGGGTTGATCCAAAGGTGCTCTCCTTCAACACAGACTGCACTGTGATGGCTGACTGGAGCGACTTCTTGGGAGGACCCTCGCTGATGCCGCGCGAAGGAGGAAAGAGGCTATGCGATGCGGTTGGCCGATTTCACCTACGGTCACTTGGAGGTGGCTGTATGCTGCCTAGGCGGAGTGAGGTGGTCTTCCGGTCGCATCCTGCCTTGCCCATCCATTGCTCCTTTTCTTGCCTTCCTCAAGGGACTGAATTACTGGGAGTATTTTGTACCGTTCCTCACGTCTAGTCTTCGTTACACCCCTCCTCCAACACCTCATCCATCACTCTCAATAAGCCTGCTTGCAACTTAGGCCACTTCAAGACACACCCATGGTAAGGCTTGCGTCTTACAGCTCAAGTCCTCACCGATCACTTTAAACAACTATTTGCAACGCTGTTCTTGCCTCACTTTGGGCATGTCGATGGAGGACCAAAGGGTGAAATGGGAGTCAGCGATGTAGAGAAAGGTGGGAAGGAAAGAAAGCCAGCTTTTGTGTACGAACTCGCTTTACTAGACAATGGTCCATTTACAAATGGCTCTTAATGGTGCGGATAGTCTCCAGCTCTTTGCGCTTTTGCTCGTAGTCCTCCTTTGTGGCGTCTTGATCGGCGTCCGCCCACTGGAGTACTGCATTGCACTCCTCAAGCACCTTTTCCACATGCTCATCTGACGACACTCGTCTCACCTCCTTGGTATCAACTTCTGATATTATGCTGAAGATGTACTTCTCCAATTTGATCTTCGCCTCCATCCTGTCCCTCTCCATCTCATCCACCTGCTTGAACTGTTCTGCATCATTCAGCATCCGCTCAATCTCCTCTTCGGACAGACGACCCGTATCGTCGATGGTGATGTTGTTCTGCTTTCCTGTCCCCTTGTCCACCGCGGACACTTTGAGAACGCCGTTCACATCAACCTCAAAGGTCACTTCAATCTGAGGTTTGCCACGTGGAGCAGGTGGGATGCTTGTCAATTGGAACTTGCCCAACAGATTGTTGTCCTTCGCCATTGCACGCTCACCTTCATACACCTGAACTAAGACAGTTGACTGATTGTCCACACACGTGGAGAAGAACTTGGTCCTCTTTGTTGGGATTTTGGTGTTTCGCTTGATCAGTGTCGTCATTATCCCACCCGTTGTCTCCATACCCAGAGACAGAGGAGTCACATCCAACAGCATCAAATCCTCCACCTTATCCGACTTCACACCAGCCAACTTGGACGCCATCAGTGCTGCACCATAAGCCACTGCCTGGTCTGCATCGATGGAATTGTTCACCTTAATGTCACCGAAGTACTCCTTCAGCATCTTCTCCACCCTGGGCATTCGTGTTGACCCACCAACTAGCACTATCTCTTGAAGGTCCGCCTTGTCCACATTGGCATCATCCAACGCCCTCTTCACCGCATCCATTGTTCTGGTAAAGAGGTCCGCGCACAGCTCCTCGAATCGGGCTCTCGTAATGCGCAAATCAAAGTCGATGTCTCCACACATTGACTCCACGCTTACATTGGTGTACTGGGCCGAACACAACGTCCTCTTCGCTTCCTCACACGCCTTCCTCAGACGACTCATGGCCTTTGCGTTTGATTCCAACTCTCTTCCTGGGTGATCCTTTGTAAATATTTTCAAACAGTGATTCACCACTCGAGAATCAAAGTCCTGTCCGCCCAAATGCGTGTCACCACCAACCGCCTTCACATCGAACTTGCCATTCTCAACTGACAGAATGGACACATCCAATGTGCCACCGCCCAGATCTAAGATGAGCACGTTGCGCCGCTTCTCGCTGCGTCGGTCTATGCCGTAGGCGATGGCAGCTGCGGTCGGCTCGTTGATGAGACGCATCACTCTCAAACCCGCCAATTTCCCCGCATCTATTGTGGCCCGACGCTGGTTCACGTTGAAGTACGCCGGCACTGTGATCACTGCATCTGTCACATCCTCACACAAATACCGCTTTGCAATCGACCTCATCTTCGAAAGCACCATGGCTGAGATCTCCTCCGGACAATAATGCTTTGTCTCACCACGAAATTGCACCTCCACCTTCAATACCCCATCCACATCGACCACCTTGAATGGCCAGTGTTTAATGCACTCCTGTACTGCCTCATCGTTGAAACGACATCCCATCAGTCGCTTCACGTCAAACACTGTATTGGTGGCATTCATTGCTGCCTGTTTCATTGCAGCATCGCCGACGAGACATTCTTTCTCCGTAAAGGCTACATAACTTGGCGTTATACGGTTGCCTTGTTCATTAGCAATGATCTCCACCCTTTCACATTCAAAAACGCCTACACACGAGAAGATTGTTCCCAAGTCGATGCCGATAGCTGGCATGCAGTTGCGCGATGCTTAACCACTGAAACTGGCGTCACGATCACCCCACAGCCTTTTATGCGCCTCAAGTGCACTTCAACCGCGCGCTCACATCCGCACTGATGGCGAAAAGGGCCTTCACCCAACCACAGGCTGGCACCCAGTGTTAGGCTTCCCCTCATTGACTGGCAAGAGCACACGCATGAGCAATGACGCACAATGCAAGCTCCCTCTGCTGCACCATCGTCAACACGGCTTGGTGTGGATTGACAGGAGTGAGGGTTGCGACACGATGGTGGTGGTTTGGGGATGGCAAGAGAGACCACCGCATTGCGTAAGGAAGAAGGTGTGCCGACCTGTGTTCCACATCCTGCTTGTGGGTGGGCAGGTGCAGGGCATGACCAATGAAATGCAGTGTACTTTGGGGCTTGCGCGTCAACCAGTAGCCCCGGTGTTGCATCCCGCATTGCCTAAAGTACCAAGTCCTCCAAGTACCTTCAACTGACCATGTGAGTTTCCTCATCTTCTTTGCTACTCATGGCGACCTAGCATTACTCCTCTCCCCACAATCAGTAGGCCGCACAATCGGCCTCATTTGTGCAGGAGGAGACGAGGCATCAATAACTAAGCAAGGACGGAGTTCGTGCGACAATTCTTCATGGAGTTGGAGGCTCCATCCACCAACCGCCAAGCACAGCATCTCTCGTAGCGCCACCCACCCGACACTGACTGTCCACTGCCTGGCACCACGTGCCGCCCAAGTGGCAAAGGTGCTGAGGAGGAGTAAGCATGCGACCTAAGTGCTCAATCAAACGGAATGCACTCACATACTGGAACTGTGGCGCCTTCGTTCCGATGGTGCCATTTACAGCCACATGAAGTGGATTCACCCAGTGATGACCAAATGGAGACGCATTTGCCGCAACACCCACCCACTGAGGAGCCACAACTACAAGATTGTGGAGTCGTCAGCCATCACTTCTATTTCAATCCGCTAACATGACTTCCTTTCCATTTCGCGACTTCGCAACAATTCTCTGAAGCCTTCGTCAACTTCGCGTCTTCAATACTGTCCCACATCCCTCTGTCCTGCTTCTCGTGCACATAAAGGTGTGGAAACCTCACTCATTACCTTGGTTGAAAAGTATTCAAGGAGACGCGTACACAACTTGAGGTTTGAAAGCAGGCAACTGCCCTACGCCTCCACCTAACACGAGCACACATGTGGTGAGACGGAGTCAATAAAGGCATTGGTAAAAGGAGGGTGTAGTGACGTCAATCAAACCACCTCTTGTGGCGATACGCAACGCATGCAAGTGTGCCGATGGCGACTCCACTCACCTCTACCATGCTGCAAACTACCAGCCCAACTGTCGTGGATTGAGGTACCCACAACCTCCCTCCCCTGGGACTGCTCAAATAAGTAACAGTTGTGTGTTGCTTAATCTTGCCATCCTCTCCTGTCCGCCTACCTCCGTACCTGCGCCTCAACACTAACTCCCTTTCCACCACCCCTATCAACTAACACACCTACTCCACTCCTCCTCCTCCTCCTCCTCCAAACACCCACCCAACGAGAACTGAATGGGGCGTTGGCACTGCTGAGAGCAACTTGTTGGAGAGCAAGTAAATGGACATTACACAGATCATGACAATCTTCTTAGGCAACATCCACAGATGGAGGAAAGGTGGCAGGGGATGGATGCAGAGGTAGACTAAGCATCACGTTCTGTCAAAATATTGCCTCAAGTGCTAGTTGCTACTGCAAATATCGATTTCCACTTCTGCAACCAATGTGGGTGATTACCACGCGAGTGGTAGCCACGTTGGCAGTGGGCCTGAAGCCACCTCGCGGATCCGCCCCAACAACTGGTGCTTGGATGCGCATGCCCACACAACCTCGCCAACTTCCATACACCACCTCTGCAACTGACGCAGCTCAGACCACATGGACACCCATCACGAGGTGAAAGGCAGCAACTGGGACCACACAGGTGCAAGCTAAATGCACGCGAACACACACCGTGGGGCGCATCCTATATTTGTGGGTGCCTTTGTCACACTCGAAATCGAGTAGAGCCACCCAAGCCACAATGGAATGTCGAGGTAGTGCCAACTGACTGCGTGTTGCCACACGCTCACGGTATGCACGTCATCAGTCCTTGCACCTAGCCACAAATAGGCTTGATTCACACAAAGATGTTGCAGTGCCTCTACCGTGCTAACAGGCATAAAGAATGAGGGAGCAGAATGCAACTCTGGCATAGAACAAGTGAGCACGTCGATCGAGACTTGGGCGAGATGTGGGCACTAATGGCAGTGAAGGTAAGTGGACTTGAAGAAGGAAGCTGCCAGAATCCAACCCTCGTGCATCATAAATGCAGCGCTCTGGCGCAGCCCTCTCTTACCCAACAACTTCCACTATCATGCTCTCGCCACCTAAACAATCCTACGATCCAACTCTCCCATGCGAACTTGCCAGAGGTGGTAGTCGCGCATCGCATTGCCAATGGAGAGGCTAAGTGAAACAGGAAGAGAAGGGGGAGGAGGAGGAGGACAACGAACTGAGAAGGGAGGCAGAGTAGATGCTGCTAGACAATAACTGCTCAAGGGAGGGGCAAAGAGGCTACGCCTACGCCTGTGCATGAGCACTACACTGGCACTTGTATAGGATTGCTCCAAGACACCGGCACTTGGAGAAGTGGTGAAGACGTGAAGAGAATTGTACTGTGTCAGTGACTGTCATTACTGCAGGCAGTTGTGCGCGTGTTACCATACCACTTGCATCACCTAAGACGCATTGTCAATTTCTGTCCCACACACTGCGCCTCATTCATTCAGGTGAATTCAGAGTGTACAGTTCTGTGCTGACTGATCACCTCCTCAATGCAGTGCATGGGTGGAGGCAGCCTACAGACCTCTCGACCAAGCATCGTAAAGCAACGTGTGAGCGAGTGGAGGAAGCGGCTTCGACTCTCGTGGAAGATTGAGAGACTTGGCACATTTGACTGCAACACAGTTGCTCATTTTGCCCTGCCACCTATGCACACCTACCAGCATTGGCACTCCAACAAACCACAGCTGTCGTCTGGCAGAATTGTGACTAAGTCGGAGTGCAAGTAGGTGACAGCGTGAAAGCCAGCACTGTGAGCGCACCATGCAACTCACTTCCTCCAAAGCGCGATCAGTCCGACTGGAGTAATTTCCTTCTGCTTCTTGATAGTGGTACATCAACAACCACCTCTCAGTATACTCTCCACCGCAGATGACATCGCTTCTTAGGAGTAGTTCTTGTCAAGCAAGTCAAGTTCTTGCAAGACGTGGCAACTTGTGGAGAAGCAAGTCTTCACGGCACAATCCTCATCTCCCTTTCTCACTCAGCAACACCTTCGAGTCTCCCTCTCGGTGCACCCACGCACGTGTGCTTACCGAAGACCATCGCTTCTCCCTGTTGCCTGAAATAGTGCTGTCCATCTGCGGTGCAGCGTTCGAGTGAGTCTCAACACTCTTCTGTTACCTGACAACAGTTGATGCGCACCCTTAAAAATGGACTGTCGGGGTATACAAGTGGTGCATCACGCGAATGGCGGGACAGTGGAGTCCGCGGCACCTGATCTCCAATGCAGTCGCAGCCGTGCTCGCAACTGCCTCCTCCTGAGTAGCCTCACGGTTGGTCGCTGCTCAACTGTCGCCATACTCTTAGCACCACCATGTTGTCAGTCCACCACCACTAATGATTGCTGTTGCGCAAAGGAAGCTCGCTGCGTAGTCCACGGGAAAGGAGGGCAGGTTGTGGCAAGGGTGCTACGGTAGGTGCGCATTGGCTTAGCAACGCACAACATTTGCTTCAAGTGTTGAAGAACCACCAGTTTTGTTGCCCCAACACCTTTAGTGTGTAAGTACGTGTGACCTCCTATTTGTCAGCATCGTTGATGAGTCGTGCAGAGGAGCATGAAACGACTGTTCTTGTCTGTACTGACTGATCTCTTCGACACTGCTCTCACCAGATCACTGTCATCCGCCCTCCCTGCAACGTTGGCTGAAGCGAAGGAAGGGGCGAATTTCGAAGTCGCCCTTGGAACCGGTCTCTTGTTGGGGAACACCCACTCAATGACATAAACTGCCTTACACCAACTAATCTACTTCATGGCATGGCATTGCCATGCGCACTCCGCTTCCTCCGCTGAAGTGCATACTCGGAGGACTGAAGCCTCTCATTCCTGTGTGTAGCCAAATGACCCGTCTCCACCATTCCTCTCAAAAGGGGAAAAGAGGAAGATGAGTAGCCACAAGCATAAGACTAACACCAATAAACAAGACGTGGCCAGGATCTCCTCACGCACACCTCCTCATCTCGTCCATCTGTTGACCGTTACAGCTCCACTCCGCAGCCTCATATGATGTGGAAGGGGAATAGTCTCCCCACCCTTTGACAAACATGCGAGTCACATGGAAGCTTGCCTTAGTTACCAACACACTGCGGCACACTTTCTCGATAGCACGCAAACAACAAGAGAGGAGGAGAATTGAAGTTAGAGAAAGTCTACAAATGTGAGGTGTGGTGGAGAAGTTGGGGGAGGGGTAGGAGGAGGTAAGACAGAAACAGGTGCACCATGTGATAGTCTTGCTTCTCGAATTGCATACAACGCTCCACGATGGGCATTACGAGTGCTGTTGAGGTGCCAGCATGCGGAACCAGTAACTTCGCATCTCATCAAAGAGAGGTCTTGCCACAACACACCACACGCCGACTCCACAAGGCATGGGAAGGGGATTGGATGAAGCAGTAACCAGTAGTATGGCTTGACGAACATAGACTCTGCTCTGCATCCTTCAGCATGGCCGTTAAGTGGGCCAAGTGTTGACGGGGGAAGGTGGGAGGGAATGAAGGGAAAGGGATGTGGGGACTGTAAGGTGCACAAAATTATTACTGGGTTGCACTTGGCGAAGTAATGAACACCAAAGTGCGTAGGAGGGAGAGCGGGGAATCTGGGTTGGAGAGGATGTCAAGCTGGGCAAATGAGAGGAAATGGAAGAGGAGTATGGGAGAGGGGGGTGAAAGCGAAGAGCAGAGAAGGGAAGGGGAGGGGAGGGAAGGAGAGATGTGCATGAGACTGCCAATCATATCCACCATCTGGGTGGAGGAGGAGGTCGAGTGAGAGATACTAATGCACTACGGACGAGGCAACGGTGTAGAAAATCGGATTAAGCGGTGCAAGAAGAAGTAGACACTGCAAGAAGTGACTTAGGTGGGAGAGGTGGGATCGAAGAAGACGACCGTTAATTTGCATTTTCTTCGCCAAGTCGAATTGCTGTCTGACCCGCTTCCACTTGCACTGATCCACAATGTCTGGAGAAGCACAATAAACAAACCTCCTCCCTTCATCCACCCTTAAAGCGAATCCAAGTGGCAAATGCGGCAACACTTTAAGGGTGGGCATGAGTGCAGCTGTGCAACCTACAATGACGCATGGATGACTAAATCCTGTCCTCGCCCATCATCATCAGTCTAGTTTTACCCGGAAAACAATACGGCGCGACATGTTGCAGTCCATTGTGTCTGGAGCACGTGAACATGTGATGCTTCTCCCCCATCCTCTCTACGTCCATTCACTTCCTAAAATATAGTCGTACATACGGGGCGACCGCTTAACCAATGAGAAGGAAGGACTGGAAAAGAATAGTGACAATGCCCTCCTTCATGCAGGACTGGCTTCTGTTGTCGCGTTCTGTCGGGAACACCAACACCAGCGCTAGCTGCAATTGTAACACCTGATGCAGCAGTTAGGATGAGCAAGTAGGAGAGGGGAGGGAGGTGAGATGACTTGCCTTATAGTCGTTGTGCTTTCCACCTTTGCCTCTGAGGTGCATTAAGCGATGAGAGGAGAGGGATGACGGACCAACTGAGTCCACATTGCTACAGTAGACAGAATGCTGTTGAGGTGGGCGCCAACCCAGTGCATTGTGGCGAGCGAGTTGGCGATGTTCAACTGTAACATTGCAACCGTCTAGACACAAACAGGTGGCAAAGAGACAGGGAGCGCAGAACCACTGTTGGTGTTGGCGGATGTGACACTGAGCAGACAACAGCAACTCATTATTCACGCGCACCCTCCAGTCATGCGAAGACGCAATGTGCAATTGATGGAGAGGGGGATGGACCGCGAGACGACGGTGTTCTCCGTCTCCGCAGACCATTCCTTCCCATCCCTCTTCTACTCCAATCCAATATTCGTAGTGAACACACTCCGGATGTTGAGACTTGTGTTGTGGCAAGTTTAGTGACCTCGGATCCACAACCACAACCGCACCCAATTTCCCGACTACATGCTGAATGTCAACTACATATCTCCACATCCGATGAACTGGCTATCCGCTCTCCACAAACAACAGACACTGGGTCATTTCCCGCTATACTCCATGCTGGTGTTGCCGCAACTCCTGTATTGGCAAAGTAGCAAATGATCTTTAGTTGCTAAACGTAATCACCGTTCAAGACGGCACCAGGTGGCCGTACCATCATCTCTACTCAATCGCACCTGACAAGTCCACGTTGTGTGCTCCTTCCCTCAGCATGCAAGTCAAGAAAGTAGGTGGCATGAATGGGCGAGACGGACATCTGCAATTACCTTAACCACTTTACAACGTTGAGTGGCATGTCGCCTGCTCTGTCTACTTACCCACTCACGTCGTCATGTTGTTGTCCATATGCGAATCTCGTCCATCGAACCAGTCGGTGGTCAAAAGGACTCACCTGTTTACATCTGAGGCACACTGGTTAGCAGTCGACACCATGTGTCATTTATTTCTCCACATCATCACCCCTCGCCTCTTGCAGCGCTTATATTTTGACGAAGACACAGTCACAGCTACCGAAGTACTAATATTAGCAGCACTGTCTTACAAAATACATGGTGTTATTATGAGGCAGTGGTGGAGGAGTAGGAGAGAGTGAGGGAGAGGAGAGGACAGGAGAAGTGGATGTACTTTGACGTGGTGCGCGACGATAAAGACAACACCGGCGTAGTCGCAGAGAGTTTTCTGCGCACTCCATCATCATTTAGTGAACACCTTGCATTCGGGCAGCACCCTGTCCTCAGGCTTCTTCAATCGCATTGTCGGCTGTACATTCTTGCATGTGGGACGCTTGATGCACTGGTTGCGGAAACAGGAGTATCCGTCCGGGCACTTGCTGCAACTGGCGCCATACTCGTACGGCTTTTCGCCATATATGTTGCCCCTAAACCATATTACACTCGCTGTCACCTTTGCTCGAACCAAACATCCATTGTGCCAACAGTCAGCCATGCAATCAGAGGCCAATCTGACAGTCTACTGATCGGCCTCTAAGTCAGTCAGTCAGTCAGTGATGCAACAATCCAAAATGCAAGAATATCCGTTGGAAGCGAAATCACACTTACGCTGGCTTGTATTGACACACAGTGAAGTATTGTGGATTGCTCCACGAAGGCTCCATGTAGTCGCATTGCCGCATGGCACAACCCACCAGATTCGAACTTGCCCATACCATCTACACGTGCACAGAAAAGCATGACAAGTTACGCCTGCTTATCCCTAACACCACTGCACCGCACCCACTACTGCCTCCCATCTCCTCCTCCTCCTCCTCCTCCTCCTCATCATCATCATCATCATCTATCCCCACCATTGCCACCAGCTGCGCACTCAAATCTGCATGAACTAGCCATCGGACATGCACTACTTTGAAAGAATTGACTCTGCACGAAACGGCACACTGCTTAGTTCCAATGCACTGCATCCCTCTAAACTCACCTGCGTATAGTGACCACAGACACCGTTGCATGTACCACTAAAGTAGTCGTAGTCCTTCACTTCGTCCTTCCACCCACACACGGCTTCAGTGAAAGACGGCTTTGCACCGCCGACAAGTGCGATATTTTGTCCAAGTCCCTTGTATTCTGGATAGTACCTGTCATCCGGATGCTCGAATTTGCACCGACTTGCCCATCTGTCGGCCAGTGCTTCCAACTCGCTAGAGTACTCCTGCACAAGAAAGGGAGGAAATGCTGTGAAATGCCACCAAACACACCTTCAACCACACAGACTTGGCGACAGGAACACACCATGAGTAACATATTGCTGGCGGGCGGGTACACCTTTTCTCGCACTACCAAATGCGCCTCCAGCATTTGTGCGCGCTCAACGTCTGTGGGCAGCGGACAGACAATGGATGCAGATAAGAGAACCGTCAGGCTGCAGACCGTCACCAGGACACCTGTCAATGCAAACAAATAGGGCACAATTGCTGCCCGGATGGCACAAACAGCAGTTGAGTCGATAACTCACCATTACGTGTACACATCATCGTAGCGGAGTAAGTGGAGTGTAGGGACGAGAGAATGTCACCGCATTTATACGAGATTGTATAATGCGGTGTGTTTCTTGTTGACATTGTCAATCATGACAGGGTGAAGGTGGCTTTCATCTACTCATTCACCCCATTTCACAACTTTGCTGCAATGAATGACTCCTTCACCCCCTCTTCACTCCTCACCTACCACAGACTGTAAGACAAGCAGATAGTGGTGGACAGAAGGGCGACCGAGGATGTGTCGGCAGTTGGCCAACTCCTTGCTACGCCACCTTCCGTGCAGACCACTTGTGTGGTGAGGAATCGAATCGCGTCCATCTCGAGGCGGGTTTGGCGACACCACTTTCAAGTAGAACCGATATTGACCAAATGCCCTCCTTCCTCCTACAAATCCCATATTCAATCGTGCCTCCGTGCTGCCACGGCAACACCCTTCTCCTCACTTACTGCACAACTCACTCTCTTGTCTCCCTTCCTCCCATCTCCATTCCACTCGCCTCTCCTCCAAGTCTCGCTCCTCCATAACCCTTGCACCAATCCCCTACTCTGATTGCCCACGGTGCCCCCCACCCTCCAATACAACCAGCGCTGCATGCGTTGTAGGCACAGGTTTGGGAGGGATTAAGGTGTGTCTGCATGCCTGATACTTTCAAGAATCATAGGATGAACGAGGCAGGCTAAATGCTTTGTG